TACAGCAAGAATGTCACTGGTTTACAGACAGTTAACATATGATGGTATTTCTATATGGAGATTGCCTGTTCCCTTATATGTTTGGGGTTCTTTCTGGGTACTCAGACTTTCTCTGACAGTCCTAAACTTGCATATTGGGGATTAGATTAATACAACATTTTACATTGGCCAAAAGCTCCTGGAAAATTCTTTGAAATTGATTCTTTCCATCTGCTGTATTGAATGGTTATTGGAGACAGTGTTTTCAGTTCATTTTGGTTTCAATAGTTTGATCCACAGGGCAGATAATCAAACATTTTCTACTCTTTTATATGGAAGAAAGAGTTTATTTCTACTAGTTCATTTACCCAAGAAGATGCTGCTGTTGAGGCTTAAGGAAGCATTCATGCTGTAACTGTAAAAGTTAGTTCCCCCTGTAGTGTATTGTGAACACCAGAATCTAAAAAAAAACAACACTTTAAATACACCCCCCTCTCAGCTAGTAACTTCCAGCAATTGTTCATCAAGGAGACTTATCTGCTGCCTTCTTGGCCCAAAGGGAATGTCTCCTTCACACTGACGACTCAAATGTGAACATTGTTGTCTTAGTTTGGACATTTTCTTGCAGACACTCTTTTATGTGATATAGACATTTTTGAAAAGTCTGCTTTAATGGTCAGAATGTGTATTATTTATTTTGTGCTGCCTGTTATTTTGTGTTGTGCTTAGTTATAAAAACAGGAAAATGAAGTTAATTTAAGATTGCTTTAGCACCAGATTGACAACAATGACTTTTGACATTTAGCTTTTTAAAAGAACATAAACAAACACATGGTCGGAATATGAGTGACTTATCCACTAAACTAAACAGCAGACCCTACTTTTACTAACATGTTTAATTTTTGTAGCTATGTGAAAAGTATTAAGTAATTAATTTTCATCAAGTCTTTTCAAAAGAATACAAACAGTTGACAGTATGCCAACAGAAGCCAAAGAATTCACAACACAATGGGTTGTTTTAACTTGTTTGCTGTGTTTTTAATGGGTTTTCGTTTGTTTGTTTTGATTTTTACAGTTATTCTGTGCTACACCAAAAAAAAGTGTGTATAGGTGAGTACAGGATGTTCTTATTTACAATTCATGCTGAAGAGATAACGACAAAGTGATTGTTTTGGTGATAAACGAAAACAGTCTGCAGCACATCCAGACTCTGCAGGGTATACAGCTGCACAAGAGAGGCTTATTTACATTTGATATAAAAAGCACTGTATCCTGCCTTGGCAGTTAAAAATACATTTGTTCTATCTTTATTATCAAAACATTTGGCAGATGAATACATTCTGAAATTGTGATGATTATTTACATGTTCTGTGTCCTTTTTTGACCAGATTAGATAACAGCTATGACCTTAACGCCCTAATTTGCACAGAATGATTATATCTAAAGTGGCAAACAAATGCCACTGGATGAAGTTAAACAATCTGCTGATAAACGAGATTCGGGCACTGAATCTGAGACACACTTCATTAGGTATACTGTTAATGCAGATATGTCTATCAGCCATGGCAGCATTCCAAAGTGTTTGAATGAAACTAGCTGTCAAAGCTAAGAGCAAATCTCTTTGAGTACAGCGTACACTGATTGATGGGACTTGAATGACACACATTTCACTAAACATATGACTTATGGGTATATTCTCAATGGTACTGCAATGTAATATTGTTAAAATTCTAATCAGACTATTTCCCATGTTTCACTTGTAAACAAGAATATAAGAGGAACAACTGAGTTGGAGTACTTTTCATGCAGGCGAAATATAAGAGAAGCTACATTGAGATGTTTGAACCTGTGCTGATGAGAGATATTGATTAAACTGGACAAGGAGGACATGAAATCATTAGTAACAGAAAAGACAGGGTAGAGGGTGAGACTGAGCCAGTTGATCGAATGTGTTGGTCCTGCAAAAAAGAAAATGTTGGCGTATATTCTTCTTGCCTGTTTGCACTGCGAGTCAGAGAGGACCGTTATTTAACTGACAATAAAGTTAACTTGACTTGAAGATGGGTTAGAAAACGCCAGGGATATTATTTAATTACCAAAAAATACCTAATAAAATGAATGAAAGGGCGAATTATTTCTCCTGTAGCGTCTCCTTTATTCACTCCTCTGTCGTGAGGAGGCAGCCTCCCTCTGATGTGGTCCCCTCCCTAAGCGCACCGTGCAGTTATGTCCACCCCAAAAAAATGACGTTGCATCCTTCCTCTGCGTGTCTCCATAAAGTGCGCCTCACGCGGAGGAGTGAAAAGGCTTCAGTGAGTGAAACCGGAGGAGAAACTGTCCAAGACACGCACGTAAGGGATTGGTTGTGGTTCAAGCGGAAGCTGCTGAAACGGGGAAATAACACAAACATTCGTTTTATTTATTTTTTCACTACGTTCTATCGTCCATTCATTTTAACCTATTTATTCGAGAGCACCTGCCTGCAGCACAGGCCGGCTCTGTGTGTGCGGGATCAGGACTCGGAGAGTCCAGCTGTGCAGGAGAGCTCCCCCGCGAGCGCGTCATGGGATACAGAGGAATCTACACCTAAGGACTCTGTGGATTTTACGGCCGTTCAAAATAGTGCACAGAGACTGTATAATTAGTCGCCTGAATAAGAAACTTCCGTTGCTTACCAGGAATTTGGTTCCTCTACCGGTGACGCTTTTATTCTAAGGCAGACTTTGGATTTTTGGAAGTTGGCACTATGGCTTCAGCCGACTGCTTCAAACTGGCCGTGTTCTTTGTGTGTTCATCATTCACAACTGGTAAGAAGTCGTCACTTTAGCATGCTGTATATTCGTGTTTTTCACAACACAGATAAGCAGATATCGGTGTTTATTTGACAGATAGGTCATCAACATTGAATCACATAATAGATGCGCTGAATTGTGCATTGAAGCTACATTTTTTTATACAACGGGTAAAATTAACAACGAAACACATAATATCCCACATTGGTCACTGTCTTGTTTTCTAGAGTTTGTTGCTATGCATTGATTTCACCTTAGACTGCAGTTTAAGTTGCAACACTCGTATGAGCCACTAGAGGTAGTTGTAATTGTATGATTACACGTTAATAAAGTTGTCTGGTAGCTGTGGTAAACGTTTTAAAAATGTTTGTCTAATTATATATTATATATAGTTTGAGTTGTCTTTGATTTGTTTTTATCTTAACTTTTCTAAATTAATTATAATAAGTTGTTTATTCCGAAAGAGTTATTTGAAGGACTGACATTTGTTTGAATATTTTTCAGATTAGAAGGCAGGTTAGGATCAGTTCCTTAGAATTAAACCCATCATCTCCTTCTCAGCTGAAAACACCCACTAAGATAACACACTACTTTTCTACCAAGTCAGGTGTGGTAGTTAAACCTTTTTCATTATTTCCAAATAAGCAGGCTGACCAAACAAAGGAAATGCCTTCAGACAGACACACACACACAGACTCTCAGCCCAAGTTTTGTCTGTGATGTTTTCAAGTAGATTTCCTTCACTGTCCTCACACAAAGCGTGGGAAAGACACAAGGAGGAAGCGGACGCTGGGGCAGGAGGCAGCCTGGAATTGTTCTGGCCAGTAAAGGTCACGCTTGTGTGACACGCTACCTGAGCAAAGACTTCTTCCCCAACTCCTTGTACTTGAAATTTTGAACTGTCAAAACTCTGTCCGCAAGACAATAGCAGAGAGGAAGCAGTGGCCAGTGACTGCTAGAGCCATTAGTCAGTGTGTTACGTGTCATCTTGTCATCATTTGTGATTAAACTGAAGTTAATGACTAAACCTTCCGCATAGCAAAGGATAGATTTTATTCAATAATATTGACTCGGTGTCCTGTGAAGCATGATCCATCTAATGGTGTAATGATTTCTAAAATAGACATCCAACAAAATAAGACCTGATCTAATCAATGATCCACAACAATCATTGTGGTGCTTGTGACGTGGGGCGTGATGATGGAATGTAGAAATTTTGGGTTGTCCCTGAGGGTTTGAGCTTACAACACTATCAATCATTGATTTTTGTTTCATTATGAGAAAAAAAAAGAAAAAAAGTTTCTGTTTATAATGTTTTCCTATGAAAGGGAGTTGATGTGGTGTTTTATCATTTCTGCTTAGATATTTGACATTCAGTAGAAATTGTGTGTGATAAAAGTTCATCATAGTGCAGTAAGGATACATTCCTCACCAGCAGATCCATATAAGCCCAAGCAAAGCAGTCGGTAACGGAAACACACACACATGAACCTGGACTGGGAGACTGATCCACAGCCAAAAAAGTCATTCCCTTACTCTAAGTTATTGAACTTTACAAATTGCTTAGCCGAGCTCTTCTTAAGGGATGTTTGCAGCATCTGGTCCATAGGAGGCCTACCTATCCTGAGCTAGCAATATATTTTCTTTGAATCCCACATGAGATTTCAATTTCAAGGAGCTTCTGTCTGCCTACTCCTAATCGTACATTATTAGAGCATAAATCTTCTGGATTGACAATTCAGCATACTTGTGCAAAGGATTTTTCTTTGTCAGCTCCACTCAACTTTATATAACCCAGGATGGCCACCCATCATGGCCAGATGTTCCCAGATTTTCCTTTTTTTCAAGAGAAGTCTGATCCTTTTTACCTCTAAGTCCCCAAAGACTTATATATGGCTAATAAAAAAGTCGCTTGCCCTAACTGTTGTCTTCACCCTGCAGTTGGCAAGGTGGAGCTGTTTCACCATGGTCCAGTGTGGCAATATTCACTATCAAAGTTAAACCTCAACCCTTTACTTCTGCAAGTGGTTTTCAGCTCTGTTGACAGACTTGGGTCAATCTTTTGATTCTTGATTCTTGACGTTTGAGTAAGTTGTGGATTTCTGTCTTAGACAATTACAGTCCGAGTCATCACAGGATGATACCATCGAAACCTTACAATGTTGAGGTTATAAGAACACTTCCCTTTCTTTGGTATTGCATTGATCATGTTATGTGTTTCCTGGTTTCACCCTTTTCTCATACATTTCATCCACTTCACGTTGTTTATACAACCAGCAAACGTTAGCTGTACTAATAAAGAACATTGGTCCTCATGCCACTGTGCCTCTGGTAAACTATTTAACCCAAAAGTTTTCCTGATGGCTGTGTTGGTATGTAAATGGGTAATTAATGTCAATACTGTAAGTGGTCATTAAGACTAAAAAAGATGAGTCTACATTTTAGAAATCCCTTTCATTGTGAACTTACAAAATTTTAGGTATTTTTCTCAAAATTGTATATATCTGTAAGGGAAAACGAATTGTAACGAGGTCTTTAGGAAAATGTCTATTGACACTATTGTCCATGTCCATTTTTTCTACATGATGATTACATTATTCTGACATCATTACATTTTTAATATGAATATTTGACACTTCAGATCCTTTAGATGACATTTTGTACATTTGCACTAAGTCATTGAAGTTCTAGGTCATCGGTTTGTCCGTGGTCCAACTGGACTGAGTCCAGTGAAGGTGCGTCATAAACTGGTGACCTTGCAGTCTGTTGTCAAATAATGATTTCCTTTCTTTTTCTATTGTGTATTTAGTTGGAACAGACGTACATGGATAAAATTGAGTTGAGTTAAAGACATGATTGATATGCCAAATTCTTAGCTTTCTCTTGATGGCAGTAAAAATACTCTATGTTGTGTCAGGATATGTTGTAACTGTTAATATTCCCTCAAAAAAAATGTAATTGTAATTGTCTTTATTATTATTATTACTACATGCTAATGACTTAACACCATGTCCACAGAGACACAGACTCGTTTTTCATCAGGCTTTTTTTTAAAAAAAAGATATGTCAATCTATCGTTTTTCTTGTGTAATAATGAAGTCACTTTAGTACTTCCTGATTTTATATTTGTCTCACCACATATTTTCTTGCGCAGTACTTGATTCCAGAAATAAATAGAAAAGTAAAGTGAACTACTTGTCATTGGTACACAGCTCAGCACTGCACACCAGAAATTGTGACCTCTGCATTTTAACCCATCACCAAAGTGAACAGGGGAGCAGTGTGTGGGGACGGTGCCATGCTCAGAGCACCTCAGTGGTAACTTGGCAGCTGATGGACTGAAACCTTCCGGACCCAAGTCCACTTCCTTAACCACCAAGCCACCACTGCCCCAGTAAGATAAAAAGAAGAAAATAAATATGTGAAAATCACATGTTTAAACAAAGCCTGAAACTTATCAGTCGATAAATACATTATATTTTCAGCAACAGACATTCCAAAACTCCACACTCCGTCCTGGAATTTTCACAGTCTGAAGTTCAAATGTATTTGCTGGTTGGAAAGAACCAACTTTCCACTCTCCACTGTGCCACTTCCATTTTTCATTTAGGACATGAAGAGTATGAAGGTACTAATGTGAACTCTCTGGGCCTAGTGTCAAAAATCAGTTTGACAACATGTCCCTGCAGTTCTGGTCTGGTCAGTGTGTACTGACAAAGGGAAGAGGAAATCACACATTCAGCCTCGGCCTCAGTTTGTTCCATGCTTGTCCTCTTTTTAATGGCTCTTAATGAGAACCAGCTTCTTGACTCTTTGAAGAAACACAAAAAGGACAATTCTGGCATTTTCAGCCAATCTGCTGGATGAATGCAACACACAGCTGTTACAGGGGGTTAGGGGCGTCGGGATGCTTGCTGAGGTCAGTTTTGTGGAGACTACAGGGCAAGTGGAAGTCTTGAGTGTGTGAGTGTTGAGAGGACAGCGGTTGGATGAAATTTTTTTTCCCCCTCTTTTTTTAGTGGGCTGCTGGGGGCCCTGCTGATTTATCCATCTGTTGCGTGTTACTGAGTGGAATAGAGCAGAAATCAGGCAGTTTGAAGGGATAAGCACGCCATTGGAATTTAGAGTTGTTGTTTTTTTTCAGATGTTCTTGTGTTGAACCAGATACAAACAATCACATTGGCACATAAGTCAAGGCTGTATAGGATTTATATTTAACTGGTCTCAGGGGCCTACTCCTGTAAGATTTATGGCTGACCTAATTTTATAGCAATTAAAAAAAAAACTTGCTGCCAATTCTGGGAACTTGGTAAAAGAGACTATTGAGACAACTGAGAATAATTTCTATTTTAACAATATCAATATTAATCTATTCTGTGGTAAACATGAACAAGTGTGTGAGCCAGCTTTTTTTTGTCTATAACCTTGGTCAATAAAACAATGATGCTATAATACACACTGAGGAAGTCAGTATTCAGAGTCAATGCCAGTGTCAGCCCTCAGCAGCTGTTTCTGTTCTTTCTCTGCTCCCTTTCTTCATGTTAGAAAGTGCAGGTGTACCCATTTCCCATATCTCTGTATGCATGTGTTTCCCTTATATGTGTGCGAACTGAAAGCATGTCAGCAGCATGAGAGCATAACATTACAATGTTGTATAACCCTATTGTCTCTGTTGATAATAGTTGCACAAATTTGGAGAGACTTTCTTTCCACCACAATGACCTATTTCAGAGAATTTGGTAAATAATAAAAATAAAAAAAGGAAGTAACAAATGTGATGTGACACATGACTAGAAAGTAAGGAGAAACCTAGGGATTCTTATGTTGAACACCATTAGACCTATAAATAAGCAGAGCTGCTCATGCAGAAATTCTTCCTGAAAGCTAAAAAAATAATCTTCATGTACTGTATCCAACAGGACACTTGGAAAGAGAAAACTCACCTAGGATCCTGCCCTCGACCAATCCCATGGTTCACAAATATAACGACACATTACATCTTACCTGCAGGTACGTAATACACACACACTTTCAATTGTAAACCGATATGATGTTGAGATAATAACGTTGCAACTAGTAAAAAAAAATATTTATTTTGCACATCTAAGTTTTTGTGGAAGCTATTATAATAACGTTGCAACTAGTAAAAAAAATTATTTATTTTGCGCATCTAAGTTTTTGTGGAAGCTATTCTATATTTAATTCCCTTGTTGCCCTTTCCGGGTCAGAACTCAGAGGTCAGATGGACTGGAGATAGTTTAAATTTAAGACACAAAAATGTGAACCATGGCCATAAAGATGAGACTCATGTAAAGTAGCCAAAGGGGGAAATAAAAAGGACATAGCTGGCTCTCATGACACTTGTTGGCTACAAAAAAAGCACGGGTCAATCCTCAACAGGATCCAGTGGTGCTGGTGGTTCACATTTAACTGTCCATTTCCTCCAGAGGCTGTGGGATCCATGTGCTTTTTTTATTATTTAAACCTAAATTTAGTGAGTCATACATCACTTAGCTGGAATGTACCATGTCTATGTAATGTAATGATTCCCTAAAAGGCTATGAGTTATGATGCTTGGCTCGTGCTCAACCGTCTTGTTGATTGTGTCTGGCTAAGAGGTGGAGATCACTTGACCCGAAATTCTGCAGGCAAAGGCAGTGGTATGCAAAACATGTCTGATGCTCCTGTGGGATCTCTTTAATGAAAGATTTAAAATAGATGCTGCGTGGAAAGAATGTGTTAGTCAAGCAAGCCATTCAAGAAAATACCACGTTCCCATGTGAAACCTCGAGTTATCGGGGTTGAGTCAAGATTAAGGACAAATAAACTGAACGTTGGTGCAAAGCCTCAAGGGGTGAGGCTACAGCTGCCACCCTGAACTTGCGAGGTCATTGTCAGCTTTGATCTGCTAGAAATGTCCAGTTTCGGCAGTGCCGTACTTACATTAATATTTCTTCTATTACAAACTCAGTAAATGATTTTAATTCATTCATTAATTACAATTGACTGTATATATATATATATATATATATTTGTATTTCAATGAACCTTAACGAAACCTGTGGTGTGGTTTTTTTATTCTTAACCTTGACTGTGTAATGCTGTAATATTCAAATTGAGTTTTTTAAAAGGGATCAGCATTTTAAAGCATGAAACCTCACAAACGTCAACATAAAAATGGCCTGCTGTTTATCTGATTGTCTTCCTGAAGCCCATTGTGATAAACGAAGTACACTCATCTCCCCCTCATTCATCTGTCTGGTCCCCCGCTCTCTGTCTTCTTTCAGAGGACCTGGCCGGCTGCACTGGACACTGGCCTATCGTAACAGTTCATCGCAGGGTGTGAAGGAGGAGCCGTGTCCATTCAGACATCACCCTCATTCACACTGCAGCAGACTGACAGTCACACACTTAATCGGCAACGACACGGGCAGTTACAGCTGCAGTTACACCAAAGATGGTTCTGCCCACACCATCTCAACATATGTCTTTGTCAGAGGTGAGACCTGCAAAGAACATGTTTATTTATTTTCATTGTTAGAGACAAGTGAATACATTACATGTTTATTTATTTTCATTGTTAGAGTGAATACATTGGGAAAAAAACAAGACAATGGTGTGTTAAGAAAGAAACAGGGGTAGCAATAATCAGAATATATCAAATTAATTAAGATTTTGAATTCAGGATGCTGACTAAATTGTACTGCAGTTGCTTAAGTGCCCCATGAAATGAGTCAGACAGAGACAGGAACTGGTTTCTTTAGTCCTGGAAAAGTTGAATGTGATTCCACAGGAAACCCTGTTCATTGACTGTGATTTCCGGCTCCTGCTACTGTTTTCCTTCATCTTCTCTAAAGTGTCAGAGGGCAGTAGTTACTGTAAGACTGCCCTTGAGATATTTAAGTAGATGGCCTTGTCTAGATTTGGTTGTTTGTTTGTCCCCAAGACTACAGTATGTACAAAAAAATAGTCCATGTGTTGCTCATCTGAGTCAACTTTAGGTCAGTGAGACTTGCATTATAAAAATACCAACTGTGTTAATGTGTAATTACAACATGTGAATTTGCTCAGCCTTTATTCAAAAACACAAATCTACTTTCAATTCAAATGAGTTTCTTTTAGGGTTTGGAATTGACCCAGGATTTTTTTTTTATTAAAAATGGCTATGACTTTAACCTTGGATGTTTTGCAAATACTGTCATTATATGTTTAAACAACAATAAAAGAGAAACTCTTCCAGGAACCTTCAAACATATGGTATAATAACCAATTTGCTTAAAATGATGATGAGTAGTTGTAAAGGCATGTTAACCAACTTTACATGAACTTTCTTTTTCTTCTTCACCAAAAACTTACCCGCAGCGCTCGCTGCCTGTGTTTAGTCTAACAATCTCTTTTCAAAGCCCTCCATCTGTTTATTAGATCATTTTCATGCTTACTCTTCAAATAATAGTGTCTTTATCACAGCATTGCTGCTTGACCTCACATCAGTGGCAGACTGTTTGTGCAGCCTTGAAGTTCCCACAGCTCTGGTGTGATGGCTGGCTGCCCATTGGGAACTCTCTGTGCCGTGATCAATTTGTGCACTCTGCTGACATCTAGCTAGGATTTGATCATTTTGACATCAACATTGCTGACAATGCCCCAATTTAATTGCACTGCACATTTTCTTTTTTTTTCTATTAAAAGGCTGAAAGGCTGTTTTATTTAAAGTCTTAAAGTGCATCTTTGTGTTTTATATTTTAACAACATTCTTTTCTATCCTGTCTTATGACATAGATCCAAATCAAGCTTTCGTTGAGCCAGCTTCTGATTTTGCCCTGGGCATCTTCAGGGATGAGACGATTACGGTCCCCTGCCGTACCACTTCTCCTGATGCTGTGGTAACCCTCATAGGGGTAAGATGTCACTATTTTCGTCATAGATACTGACCCGTATAGAATCTTCATTGCTCCTTATTAACTCGTCACAACATGATTGCCATGTGTTGTCCATATTCCGTGTTGTCTTGTAGAACATGTGTTGAACGTGACAAAGCTCCAGAAACACATTATTAACAGCATCATGGTAGACGTGCAGATCATTATCAACTTAAAATGACTATTTTATTGACCTACCTTGATTTATATCAAGAACAACATTTACCTTTGTTATTTTTACCTCCTTGTTTGTCATGTCTTGAGAAAAAAAGAAGTGTTGACTCTCTGCCTGTGAGGCGGGGTCACTGGTTCTCACACCAACAGGCAGAAACAGAACAGAGACAGTGGCATGTCTAAGGGAAGCTCAGGGGCGTCGAAGGGAGTCATCCTGTCTACTTCCTGTAAGAGCAGGAAGGTGTTCCAAGAGTGTGTTTCTCATAATAGACTCTAAGATTAAATTTAGACCTTCGTCTCTTAAGAACATCAGGAAATGCACTGCACACACTGTATTGTACTACAGGAAACAACAGGTAACTCTCAGAGATAAATACTCTGTGACAGCTCCCTGATTCTGAATGGATGAAGGGGGAGACGTCGGCAGGAATGAGTCTACATCTGTGACTTCACATCATGATTCACCTTCATACAGTAGAAACTCTACAAAACCCTAATTGGAAAATTGCATGAAAGTCATTTTGTCATATCTGTTGTGACAGTTGTGTCATTGTGCCAACTGTGGACAAACAACCCTGACTCAGATGGAACACATAGTGGATTTGAGAATTTTCCTGCTATTTGAAACTCTATGTGACATTCCTCCTTCCTGCTCCCTTTCCGTCCTTCCTTTCCTTTCCTTGGCTCCTCTCCTAGGCAAATCTCTGGCATGAGAACAAACAGCAGTACATCCTCTTCCAAGTTGGCAATGACTTGTGCTCCATCGCTCTCATGATTTGTGGAGAGTAAACTATGCAGGATGACAGAAAATAATTAGACCTTCACTCTCACATCTGTGGGTCCAGCTGAGCCCAGCAGAGCATGACTTACGTGTTAAATCAAGTTTAACCAGTGTATTCTACTGCACTCTACATGGCTTAATGATCCTTGCTATCACAAAGGTCACCAAATATCTTTAGCGAGCACTCACTGAGCCTATCTGTTCTACCGTCTTCATTTCAGTGGCGGACTACAGGACACAATAATGTTACGGGAATGGAGTGGGATCCAAAAGTGGGATTCAGGATTCCCTATAAACACTACATCACGCTTAACTGCAAAACTGTGATAAATGGCCGTAGTTTCCACTCATTGTATTACCCTTATGTACAGGGTAAGTCTTCTTTAGTTATATTCTCTTTCATGGAAAAAGTGTAATGCTAAAAAGGATGGCTCCCTAAAGTCCTATGTTGTCTGTGTTTGCAGCTAAAGAACTGAAAAATGTAAAAATCACACCAGATCGCATCAAGGTGTTGGTTGGAGACACCCTCATCCTGAATTGCACTGGTGAGACCGAGTACAATGGAAGAATCAACTTCACCTGGGAGATTCCACAAAAGGATGTAAGTCCAGGACTTATCAGAGACTTTGTGACCTGTACATAGTCGTTGCATGGTCACAGATGACTGTTCAAAGAGATGTAGCAATGGAGGTGATTCATCATTTTGTTTCTACAGAGAAGTCTTCGTCATTCAATCAAGAACCCTCTTAACATAGCCGCGGTCCATGTGAGGAGCAATGCTTTGGTGTTATCGAACATCACCTCAGAGGACAAGGGCTGGTACACCTGCAGAGCAGAGCTTGATCCCTGGATTTACAACACTACCAAAGCAAAAGTTATTGTCTATGGTGAGGGGCATGTTGCATATCAGAACTTTGGATTTAGAATTGAGCAGCACAATTTCCAATATTTTTATTCTTGCCTTGTGTAGAGCATCCATTCATCAATGTCTCCTACCGAAATGAGCGGTTTGTGTCTGTCAGAGAAGGAGAAAAACGGCTTGTCCTTGACCCCAAGGTCACTGCTTTGCCTAAACCCGACGTAGTCACGTGGTAAGTAACAAATTGCGTTACCTTTGAACACCACAGAGGTCACGTAGCTCTTGCATTATTACTCCATTTCACACTACAGTGTAGTGGGTGTAAGCCAGTGATTAACAGACTCAGAGAAATGGGACTTTACGTTGCTGGGAACCAGCATTGCTCAAAGACTGAGGTAAAGGTTGCAAAGATAGGTAGAATTTACAAGGATTTTAAATATAGGTGAAAGAATATTTCTTTTCTTGTTCATTTTAAATTTTAAATGATATAAATACAATACAATACCTATGTGTATGTGCTGATAAAAATGTAATTGTTTGATTCCTTCCAATTCCAGGTATAAGGATGGAGTCCCTATCAAGAATTCCACCTGTTACCACATGACGCGCTACAGCTTGACGATCTACGATGTGCAGGAGAAGAACCACGCCGGGGACTTCACCCTAAGGCTGGGCAACGTAGCCAAAGGCCTGTTCAGGAATTTGAGCTTTACTGTATCAGTAGAAGGTAAAATAAAACAATGATAATGACTTTAAAATCTTGAGGAAATTATATTGTGTTCTGACTTTGGACAGAGGCTGCCGCTGTGCCTTGGATGCTTTGAGTTCAGTTCACTGGACGGCAGGTAGCAGGCCCAGTATGAAAGGAATTTGAGAGCTTGTTGATTCCAAGGCAGGATTGACGTAGCCAGGGCAGCTGTTGTTGATTATTGGGGCTCTTTTGAAGGGGCTTTTTTTTTTTTTTTTTTGCAGTGTGTAAATGGCTTGCACGCAGCCTCCAGCCGTTCAGACCTCCCTAGTCCCCAGCATTTATAGGCATGCTCACTATGTGAGTGCACAATGCAGCTTACGCAAGCAACGGGATAAATGCATGTCATTGAAGGACAGCATAAGAATAAATGACACATTATAAGAAGAACATTTTAGGGGTTTGGAAGTATAATAATTAATAAATATTCAAAACATAAATCACTGAAACATCATCAGTTATCTATGTTATCACACTAACACAGAGACGAGCAGTGATATACAGGCAAACGATGTGAAGAGCCATAAATGGTATTAATTAGGAAGCTATTAGGAATTAGGAACTATATACATCACTTGTTTAAAACTATCACAGAACATTATTTGGATTTATGTAATGACGTGTGTGTTGTGCGAAACGGAGGACCAACTGTGTGTCTCAGCTGTTAAGAACAGACAGAACGGCTGTGGTGTGGGCTCAGCTCCTGAGATAGAGTGAGGATATTTGTCTGCTGCTAATCACAGTGCACATGGTGGATTCACTGACCTGGCCATGGGCCACAGTGGGGTCGTCCTTTGACCTACAGCCCTCAGGCTACCTAATCATCCTGTCATTCTTCCTATACACAGTGTCTAAAGGACAACTAGTGTCAGTGGCACCTTTTCACAGCTATTCATCATGACTGTCATTCCTCATTATAAAGCCATTACGAGATTCCACAGTGGATAGCTTTGGGATTGTTTAGATCGATGACCGAACCTGTTGCCTTTTCTCTCTCGTTGTTTCTTCACTGTGTCAGTGATTTTTTTTTTCTTTGCACCTGAGTTTGTCTACTTTCTTTTCTCTCTTTCACAGTCAAACCAACTATTTTGGAGGAGCTTTCTACTTTGGAAGTTAAGCCCCAGATGTTTGGTGAGCAACAGAAGCTAACCTGCAGTGCTTACGGGTTTCCCTCGCCGAACATTACTTGGTTTTGGCAGCCATGTCGCTCAGACCCGATGCTTAAAGAGTGAGTCACCATAATACAAATTCTTACACATTTTTTGTGTTATGATAGATTAGTCAAAGCCATGTTGCCCTTAGGGTCTGATCTATGTTTTATTAGCATTTGTTTTGGCTTAATTTTTTATTGTACAATGTATAGATTTAACATTCCTTGTCAACAGAGCTGTATTCATGACTGAGTTTATGAGTGACATGGTATGAATACTGGGTAATTAACAACACAGTCCTGGGTTGTCATGGGAAGTGGTGAACCTGATGGTTACAGACTGAGAAAACAAGGTCCCGTTGCCTTCAGGTTATGAAATATAGCAATTACAGTTCTATACATAAATATGTAAAACATTTACTTGTTCTTTGAACATTTATCATTTAACAAAAGCTGAGTGTGACTTAGTCACAGTAGCATTTACTACCAGACTGAAGATAATGAGAGCTGGCAACAGGAACAGTGCCTCAGCAGTGGCAGGCAGCTAATGAGAGTAAGAACAGCCAGAGCCTGGTGGGAGGCCAATTGTGCAATAATATTTGTTTTATGTGGTTCTGACCCTGCTGGCTACCTGTCACTGTAAATCCTCCATGTAGACCTTCAAGATCACTTCTAATCCAAATCTTTGGATATTAGCAGAAAAGGGTTTACAGGTGAGCAGGGATTGATGTGGAAGTGGACCGAGGCGGGCGCTGCAGGCAGCAGACATTGTATGGCAGTGTCTTTATCAGTAGGTTAAGAAGTTATCAGCTGTGCCTTGTTGACCTCCAAGGTCTTACGAACAAAGTTATCTCCTCGGACCAGAAGGAATGGGGGGCTGGAAGGGGTTCCTGTATGAGAGGACGCATAGTACAACCCATCCTGTCGCTGCTGTCGTTTCCTCCTCTGCCTCTCATCAGGCTGATTGTTCCTCACTGTGGGTGGTGAAGGGATTGGGAGCGGGGGGTAGGGAGTCCAATAGTTTCTTTAGGTTTTGTAACCCAGACAACAGGGTCTAGACAGGGACAGAAAAAATCTGAAAGTCACACTAATTAATCTATCTGTTTTACACACACAGCAGTGATCACATGAGTGAATCCTATTTCTGTTCCGCAGTTGTGTGTCTTACACTGAGCCAATACCTGTCAGCACCGATGACAGGGGAAATTACTCCCGCAACTGGATTAAAAGCATAAGCAGCAAGCATGATCTGGTTAAAAATAGAACCAAGGTAAGAGTTTCACCTCCCTGTGCATGCTTCTGAAAGTGTCATATGTATTTACTGTAAGCGCAGGCTGCTGACTGTAATATGTGACTGACGAACAGCAGTGACCAACTCAACGGTGATCACTGCAGTCGTTGTGCAAATATCCAAGGAACAGCCAAAAGCTATTAGGTCTTGGCTATGTGTTGAATGTGACCACAGCTTGAAGAGTCACATTCAACGTCTGAAATCCATAAATCCTCACAACCGTGCTTTATACTGGCAGTGATGAAGCACTTGACTGAGAATGATTTCATTTGTCTGAATTAGTTTTTTATTGAAATAAAAGCCGTGCAAAGGCCTTTGGCAGTCATCCTTGAAAAATGGGAGATTTTCATCGAAGCATTTCCCATAATTATATCTTGGAATAAACTTCCAGAAAAACTGGATATATCATATTTATAAATACAAAAAAATTGGAACATAAGGAGCAAATAGATTTATTGTTCATCATTCCAGTGTATCTGCAGTGAAGCTCACTATCAGAGCAGAATCATGAAGACTGTGATGCTTCAATACCAAATGCAATTAAAGTCACATTGTATTCTGTATTCTTCTGATAGTATAATATAGTAGTCCTATACTATTGGGTTGTTTCTGTCTGCACTTGAGTTGGAGTCACTCAGTTTTTATCTCCACCCATTATCAGTGCTGGGGGCCTAAATACACAAAAAATTCAGCTGGAGTCATTGCTTGAAATGTTGTGGTGGAAGCATGTTACCGGTTAGCAGCGTTCACTCCAAACAAATTAGGAGCAGGCCTCTACTACTTTAAGATGAATTAGGTCCATAGGATTAGGTTGAAACGTCTCCTATGGCAGACAAGGTCACATAGGGGCACATCATCACTGAAATCAGCTTTTTAAAGCAAAGAATCATTCTAACTTCTGATCATTGCTGGTTTTCTACTGAACAGCATGAGATTTGTTTAACCAAATGTCAAACCTTATATCTTGCTGACTGATTTAATGCAAAGTTGACCAATCTGAGGCTAAATGCCAGCGCTTTCATAGAGGCAGGACTTTGGGTCAATGATAACAACCAGCAAAAAAAAAGAGAGAGGGATTTGTCGGAGTGAATTCCTGGCTGTCACATTACATAAATTGTGTTGGCATTTGAATAAGAACGGACCTGGGGCTGGGCCTCACAGTGGCTCCACAGAAGGCCCAGCAGAGAGGAAGACTGGCCCTAGTCACGGGGCGAACAAAACCACAGGGGAAGGACGTGGGCACACGGAGCCACAGAGGTCACAGAGCGCCTGCTCAGGTCACCTCACAGGGACTGTGTACAACCTTTTAAGTGGCTGTTTATAAGATTGAGTTACATTATGGTGAGTAACGACTGTAACGTTATATACACAGGGCTGCTCTTCTGGTGCGTTGACAAATGTCACTGGTGCACGAAGTGGTCAGTATGATTTAGTCTTTTCATTTGTGTTTGTCTGCAGCCATGAAAAACATGGAAAACATGAACTAAGATTAAAAACATCACACGAGGCAGATGGTGGAAGAATAAACAACAATCACAATATTTGTTACACAAAAACTTTTGAACTCTATTTTCGCTATTTTCCGTTTGTTTAATGTTTTTTTTTCTCGTGTAAAGGTAGAAGTTCAGGAAAGTTTTCATTTCAGTGCACTGTTCTTGTTTGACCATTGTAACGGCTGCTAAAAGTGTTTTCACGGCCTCACTGGTGTGTTTGACACAATGGCTACTACAAATCCAGGAAGTTCAGGCCAGCATACACCCAGACAATATACAACCACATTATTATTCATTCTCTTTGATTTAGCCCCCCACCCCACCCCCCCGCAAAACAGATGTTCGTACAAACACTAATCAGAGCCCACACACACGTTGGTCAAGGGCCAAAATTAACTCTTTTAAATAACGTCCATCTATTCCAGTCTTCAAAACATTGCTTCAATATATATATATATACAGTATAGTATATATACAGTATATATATATATGGAGGGGGGGCTTGTAATTAATTTATGTAATTGTATATGTGTGCAGTGCATTTCTGACAAAACAAAGGGAAATGGAGAACTCAAAAAGTGAAGAATAAATAAATTTAATAATATGATTGACATTAAACAAAACACTTTTGTTGAACACCTGCTGTTGTAAGTCATTATGTTTGCACTATCAGTGTTACTATCAATAATATTCCTCTGCAGACTGTGGGTACGCTGGTGATTGGGGAGGCCCAGGTGTCAGGGAAGTACTTCTGTGTTGCCACGAATGAGATTGGGTCCAGCACCATGGTGATGCCCTTTTATGTGTATGGTGAGTAGATTGCTATTACGTGGTATATAACAGTGGAAGGTGCGTTGGGAGGTACAGTACTTAACTGTTTTTATTGTGATTGCAAAGCAAACTTTATTGTGCTCTGGATCCTTCAAGATGATCTACACAAACAGCACAGGCAGCAGTGATCTGTGAGAAGAGGGGATGGATGTACAGATTGTATTGTGCAATAAGGAGACCAGTTAATTGAAACCATCCTCCACTGTAGTTGAGTGGCTTCAGGGCGGAAGAAAGGCAAAACATGTCCTGAGCCATATGGAGCACCATAATGGCACGCGTTTAAAAAAAAAAAAAAACCCTATGAATAACTGAATTCCTGCTCTAAGGCAATTCCGGTCATTCCTCTTTCTCAGTGAAGCTTCTGCTCTGAGAATCTACCTTTTTACGTGCACCTGAGCATTTCCAAATGTTCCCAAAAAATGAATTTCAGAGTCAGACAGTTATGTAATAGTCGGAGGAATAGTTAACAGTGTTGTTGCACACATTTATGTTTTTGGTATTTCATTCTCTGCAACAATAGTGAATCTCACCAGGGTGAAGTATTGGCCTTGGGCCCTTAAAAAAAGTCAAAGAAGGTGAAAACCTGTGAGGAATGCCAGGAAGTGCCAAAGGTTTGTCTAGCAGGAAGGCAGAATTCCCAAAAGGAATTGTATTCCCTTTTAGAGCAGAGGAAAAGAGAGAATGATCGAATGCCACTTAAAAAAGGCAGAATTGTAATAACAGCTGTCCTTTCTTACTGAACACAGAATGCTTTCCAGCAATCTGAATAAACAAGCACAGTCTGGTTCCCCTGGGGCCGAGACTCAGCTTTGCTCCAATTGGACCAACACAGGATCTCCATCAGCAATGCTCTTGATGAGCAACGTGCTTTCAATTAACAGTGATGAAACAGGAAATAACTGCAATTTTGACATTCCTGGTCTGGTGACGAGCAGCTATGTGTCAAAACTGTTGTCAGAAATAGTATTTCCAAGAACACATGCCAGTGATCCTTCTCTCCTGAACATGTTTCTCTTTCAAAATTAATAAAAAAAAATGTCGTTGATGCACCGGCTGATTATTACACACAGCATCTACGTACAGTATGTTGTTGTGCAGGATTACATTCATCAAGTGAGACGCAACCTATGGCTGTTCTGGTAGAGGTAGCTGATTGGTTAAACAATTATTCTCAAATGTAACTGTTTTAATTCTTTAATACCTAAACACTTATTACATCTAGCCCTAAAAATGCAGCACATGTTTACTTGAAAGTTTAACTACGTTTTAAGATCTTGATTTACTATGCTCTTCACCTTTGTGTCATCAGATAACCCTAAGGAAATCACTACTGAACCTCAGACAGCCGTGGAGGGAGATGATTTCACTTTGACCTGCCGGGCAGCTCGTTACCTCTACACAGATTTGCAGTGGTTGGACTCCACCAACCACACCGTCATCTTCAATGTGTCAAGTCTGCAGTTTAGTCCGTTGTCCGTTTCCCTGTCTCTTCATCTGAGCAACGTCTCCAAAAACAGTACCACCGGCTACAAGTGCAGGGCACAAAAGTTTCACGAAAGGCTGGAACTGAAGCCAGTCACACTTATTGTGAATGGTAAGCAGTTACTGGTCATGAGAGTCTGACTGTGTTTGTATTTGTACACAATGAGTTGCAAAAGCATCTCCATTTTTTATTTTGGTACAGAACGAAAACACCCCTGGCTCAAACAAAACCTGACCAATCAGGTTGTGAACTGTAGCACCACCCTGACACTGGCGTGCCTCGCCGAGGGGGTTCCATATCCTGACATTATGTGGTACAAAAACAAAGTACGAGTGGAGGAAGGCCCAGGTAACCAGAGGTTATACTTTTACTATTCTTAAAAATAACTTAGAATTCATATTCAAGACTTGAGAGAAAAATCTTATATAATCCCAGGGAACAGGGTTTCTATATGAAGGCTGCAATCATCTGAAACATTTTACGACAGTAAAATGAACTAAAAATACACCTTTATTTTACTTTTACTTTTTGGACTAAATGTGTTGTGTTGTAGGTGTGACCCTGGGGGAAAATGGAATCCTCAATATCGAGAGGGTGAAGAAAGATGATGAAGGTCTGTACGAGTGCATCGCCAGAAATGTTGAGGGTACAGCAATGACCAGTGCTGTGGTTACTGTGCTTGGTAAGTACTAACTACCTATCAAAATATATATATATATATATATTTATACATCAATACTTCCACTGCCTTCACTTACTGCTCCACCACCTTCTTAGTGTGTCTAAGTGGTGTGACCAATCGTCTCTGCTGCTGATGCTCCAAATAGCTCTGGTTTGTCTTCGATTTGAAAAATGTTCCTGGACAGAAAATCAGTGGCAGCCAGGAATTCCGAGTGTATTCCTTCTTAGGTTTTTATGATCAAGGCTGGGGCTGAGGGTCCTTTCCTTGAGGACATGACCTCTTTGAAGTGTTAAGGGGTCCACTAATGAGTGCAAAGAGACTGACTGCTACAGCAGCCAGGGGACCGGGAACACACAGTAGATAGATAGTGTAGAAATACTGACTATAGCCTCGTGTGTGTGTGTGTGTGTGTGTTCTTTACATGTAAAACAAATTACTTGTTCACTTGTGAAGCTGAGAACTGTTAAACTGTGAGGCTGTGAAGCTCATTTCTCATGTCAACATCTTGGCACTAACACAGCTCTATATCATACTTCCTCATAATGTTTACTATCATCCATGCTGTCAGTGCCATAAACATGTTTCAGCAGTAACCTGTGTGCACACTCTGTCCTAGTTGAAACATGAGTTGGACTAAAAACTGTGGAGGTTCAGGGAATATGAGATTTAAATGGATTGAACGAGCGGGGAAGTGAACAGCCTAGGACATAA